TTGCTTTGCTAGTACTTCAAACTGGGATTCCTTATCAGTCAGCGAGTTGCGTAAATCGTCCAGCACTTTTTGAAGCTCCCTGCAATACAGGCGAGTTCAAAGCATCTCACAAAGTATGAATGGCAAGGACATCTGAAAGGAATCTATTATAATATAATACAATATAAAGTGGGAAAATGTGATGAAATGGTGGTGTACAAAGACAAGCCTGACTAGTCCAAAATGGATTGGTGGTCTAAGCGACAGACCCAGAGGTACTTTGTGAATCGTGGCTGAGCAATGCTGTGCGTCAGTAAGCCAGGAATATATGCCCAATAGTCGACGATGACCCGAGATTGCGCCAGGAAGATCTGTTCAGTAACAAACGATCCCAACAGCACACTACTCCTTGAATCCTGGTAATCCTATTTTGTGAACAAGCGCTTTACCTGATGTTCCAAAAGTTGCCTCCCCGGGGTCTGCTTTGCTGTCCGAATGCTAGTCTCAGCATCCTTACCCGGCGTCGGAGATGAACTATTCGTTTGTCCAGAGTTACGCCGCTGTCACGTTGCTGAGAGAAGTTCAAGCCGCAATCGTCTGGCTTTGTTGCTTACATTCTTACTTCTTTTATACCGTCCGTATCGAGTAGCCCATCGCCTCTTTATTCTCAGTGCAGTACGATTTATCGTGCTGTGCCTTCAGGTTCTTTTTCTGCCGATAAAAACAATGTCAGATATCTAATAGGAACATCGTCTCACAAACGGCTTATGATGTTCAGAAGAGCAGGAAAGCGAGTAGAAACAGCTAATAAGCACAGGGACCGATTTCATACTTTCTGTTCGCAATTTTCAGATATATTTGCATTATTGATTCAACCTTTTAGATATTTCACTCCCTAGAATGCAAGATGGTTTACAGTAGTGATCAAAAGCGATGGGAGGGGATCGGTTGGAAAAACTACTTCGTGTTTTGTCAAGATAAGCTGTAACTATCAGGGAGTTTAACGCGAGTACTGAGTTTTTACCCTTACCGAACTTGAAGCGATATTTCACTCAAACAGTTTAGCGCTAAAATTTCTTTCCTCTCTAGCCTAGTTCTTTTCAGCTCCCTTTTCCTCCATTTGTTCATTCGGTCATTTCTAAACAAACGAGGGGCTATGGGCCTTATGGTAATCAGAGGCCCGTGCGAACAGAGCCTATTTAAATGATGTAGGTAGTCCTCATCTTCACTATTTCCGGATCCTTTGAATCGCGATATGTTAGTCATTAGGCCAAGGACAATTGTCCACCATAAGCTGTTGAAACCATTTTTTTGAGACCGGTTTTTTCTCTGTGTACGTCGGGTTTTGCAGTATGCGGTTTCTGCTACAACTGTTGACTTCTCGTGGGATTCGTAATAGGTGCAGGTTCCGATAAATGCATTATGCGCATTTACTGGAACCTGCACCTATTACGAATGTTCGGAAACTAAATCTTACTGATTTTTTTGATGAATTTCCGACTTTTCCTCGTTGGCTTGATTGAGCTGTCCAACCAGTTCATCGATTCTTGCCTGTAGTTGACGTGTTTCTTTCATCTGAAATGAGAAAAACTTTTTAGGGACCGAAGCAAATTAACTCACTCTTTCTTCTTGTTCTTATCTCTAACTAGTTCCTAGTTCTTACCTCTTAAGCACCCTGGTCTGACTTGGCTGCTGCCATCTAATCAGTAGGCATTAGCTTTCCACAAAACACAGAAGGAAATTTTCACATGTGACCGAAATCATTTATTCTATTTTCCTCCTCATCTTGATTTCAGCCATGTTTGATTTTCTATTCATCAAAAATTAAAACCA